TGGGCACAAATGCTAGCACACAGCAGTCCCTCTCTCCTACGTCATTGTCTTGTCTTCTGCCCTTCCATGCCACCTCACACGCCTCCGACTCCATGGTCCTAAGCCATCGGCCACCAAATTGGCGCATCTGCTCTCTGCCTTGGGCACACTGGCATATCACAACGGTAGGCGCCTTCACCAGGTTTGGTGTTTGGGAGGCCATGTCTAGCTTGCAATGGGGAATGATGAGCTTTGAGAGCGAGAAGAGAGACATTGACATAGTGACGGATCGTGGAAAATATTTAGGAGGGGCTGGACTGAATAGAGACCTAGACTAGTAGAGCTTCCATGGCTGAAACTTCTAGGGGAGGCTCAGTGGGGGCTCGGTGGACACAGCAGCAATAGGGGGGGGCTTGAGCCCCACCCGCCACTGTTATCCCTGTCCTTGTTGACACATGGGTTTCATATTGTCAGAGTTCATGTCAACATACAGTCAACACGCCACATTAGCGCCTAGATTGGATCAGAGTTTGTTTGGATCACCATGACACCACCATATAAAGTTTTGGGTCCCAAATGTCAAAATTCTAGAGCTAGGGTCAAGTTCGGGGACTCAAATATCAAAATTCGAGAGTTAAGGACCTGAATGACACTCTAGTGCAAGTTTAGAGACTATTTGTGAATTCTACTCCGATGCAATTCAGAACTTGACCATATCATGAAAAGGAAAAAGATGTTGAGAATTTCCTCAGCATGGATGCCACTATCTCCGTCTCAAGAATGTGAGTTGCACTGTAGGAAATATGATGTTACTATTGCCTTTGGACTAGCAATTTCAGAATGGCACTGCTAGCGCCCGGACACCCGCGACTGTAATCCGTTTTTCCGCGTCCACGCATGGGCCCATGCCGGCCGCACGTTGCTTGCCCACGCCTGTGTCTCCCGGCCACGCGGGGCCGCGCCACCAAACATCACCCACGTTGCGCACCCGCTAGGACCGTTCACGCCCCTCCAACTTTTCACGCGTATCCCATGTGCAACACCTGTTCTACTTTTGAAACATTCGGATGCAACGCTTGCAGCATACAAAAAAGACAGATGAAATATTTGAAACATGCGTCTGAAACACTTGCAAAAAATACTTGAAAACTATTGCAAACATGCGCAACATCCAGATAAAACACTTACAACATATGTGTGAAAACATATGTCACATCCAAATAAACACGCTTGCAACATACATCTGAAAAATAAATGAAACATTGGAGACAAACTCTTGCAACATACGTGTACAACTATTGCAACATATGCAACATCCGTATGAAACGCTTGCAACATACCTCTAAAACATCTGAAACATTTGAAATGTGAGTTTGCAACATCCACATATCCAGGTGTGGCCTCCTACACTGTCTGCATCGGGGCGCCGCAGCCGTAGTAGCAAGCGAGGCCGGAGGGCTTCTGCGCCCTGACGCTTCTCCTTGCGGATGGTGGAGCAGGAGCAGCTGGCGCGGGCGGCGGAGCAGGCAGGAGTAGTGAGACGGACGCGCGGAGCTGGAGTAGGAGCAGCGCCAAGAGCAGCGGGCCGGGTGCGCGGAGCAGCGGCAGTAGCAGCAGGGCAGGCGGCGGAGGAGCAAGAGCAGCGCGTGGCGAGTGGCGAGCGGCAAGGGGGCGGACGACGGAGGAGAAGCAAGAGCAGCGGGGCAGGAGCAACAGGAGGGGACGGACGCGAGGTATATTGTGCCGGCTGGTCCGCAGCCCCAGACGCTTTCCGAAACTGTCAGCCTATTCGTTTCGTCGTAAACGATCGTGGATTATTTACTGCTGGCTGGTTTGGTGTGAGAGAAAAATATTGTTCCAGTTTATAATCCGCGATCGTATACGAGCAAGCGAACATGCTGTGTGTTTCTAATGCCTGTGAAGTTAAAACGAAAAGCATTGTAAGGTGGTGTCCCTGGAAGTGACCCCGCAGCTCCATATACATACTGTGGCTTATGCATCTGACGTCTCCAGTCTTCAACAAATCGGTGCAATAATGTATTTAACAGAACGAGAGATGGCCATGCTTTATTAGGAACGAGAGATCAGAACATGCACTCACTTTCGTAGTTCTGACAGCTATATCGCATTCCATGATGGCAGCCCCCCTCTACGATTTCAAACGCGAAAAACAGAGTTGTCATCTAGAGGCCTGGTTTGGATAATCTCGTACCTATCTTAATCCATATGTGTTGAAATATATTAGGTGAAGATGAATACGAGTATCAAACCATAGTTATTAAGACCGGACCGAATCCATGTCCGACCGGTAAAAGATCGAATGAGACTGAAGCGGTTCATTTCATTTTAAAGACCATCGTGCAATTGGACCGATAAAAACCGGCTGAATAGGCTGTTTTTTTAACCGATAAACCGGCCGGTTTCATGTGAACCGTCCCGGTCGGAACTGGTAGCACGCTTGCTCCCGTGCCGTTCCAAACAAGGTCTGAGTAGTGTCGAAAACCTCACCATTCTCAGAAAGCGTACCTTCATAATGAACTGCACACAAGGTACAAGTATAAATTGCTAGTCTTGTGCAGTGCAGCTAACGATAAACCTATACAAAGGAACTGCTGATTTGACTGCAATTCAGTATTATGTATTCATTCATGGCTGATTTACTATCGTTTATCTGTGTGTTTTTAATCAAAAGGCAACAGTCCTTTGGAACTGCGTAAATCTATGATCGCTAAGCATTTCAGTCTGGCATCAGGGAACAGCGCTTGGCCGCACAGGTTACTGCTGGCTGCAGCAGGATGCAGAGAGATACCCTCGACAAGGGGAAGGATGTCTGAACTCTGAAGGCGCAACAGCGTCCGCCTTTGCTTTCCTGATCACCGTCTTAACAGCACCGCCATCCACGGTTAAATCCGTAGAGCCAGCATCGGCTAGCTCTGCATCAAGAAGGGCCGTGCGTGCTGAAGGCGAGCAAACCAAGCATTAGGCTACCCTGCAATGACTATAACTTCTACAAAACCACAACCATTTTTGTCGGTCAGGAGTGAAACACTGACGTTTACTTCTTCAGTTTGCCTCAGTAAGCCATATAAGATTCAAGTATGCCTGAGTAAGCCTAGGATTTTTATGCACATAAACTGAAATAGCACTAATGACGACGATGAAACCCAGAATATTTATTTGTTTACGTAGTACACGAATGATGTGGTCTGCAATTGATGTCCTCCTCGAAATTCTTTGTAAAAAAATATATATTTAGCACCCCAACAGTACATGTCGGATATGGATGAAGTCTCCGGAAGGACCGGCTTTGCGGTACAAAGCACAGAGGCATCCATCCAGAAGCCGTATGCAGGCGGCCGTGCTGGGCCTCTGCGGGCTTTTGCATCGAGACAGTGCGCGAGGTGGGGATCCTGCGTCGTGCATCCTCTGTTGGCTTACACCGGGGGTTTACCTGCAAAGGCCTAGGGAGGGAGCGAGGACTCGCTTCACCTCCATAGGCGGATCGCAGGACCACTGCCAGCGGCCAGCCACTGCGCGCGCGCCGGTGCAGCTGATGATCCTGCGCCGCATGCAATGCAATGCAATGCAATGCAAGGGTTTAGTAGCTTGGCACGGCAGCGAGCGAGCATGGGTCCGTCCCTGACATCTTCAGCATCGATGGATCGCTGAAACAAACCCGCTCCGACGTAAGTGGAAGGAGCAGCGTGTTATGTTAGTTTAAGGGCGAGAAGCAGAGCAAGAGGAAGCATGGGATGGGCAGGGGAATATGCGTGGCAGCAATGCAAAAACTGGTGCCGTAATCTATAGCCATACTAGGTCAGAGCTAGGCCTCCCAAAAAATTCCATCTCTCCTGTCAATTGACAGAGGTCGTCATTGCAGCAGATACAAGGATGGACGATGACGCTTACTACTCCGGTTAATACTGGTGCCCCTGCCCCCTGGATGAACATTGAACAGTGGGTTCTGGGTTTGGGATGCTCGTCGTAAGTAGTAGACGACTGTAGAGTAGCGGTCGTCGTAGTCTGCTTGCTAGTATATGTATCGTAGCTAGACGCGGCAGATGAATGAGAGGGATTGCATTGCAAGTACGGTGCGCTCCCAATTGCAATTGGACCAAGTGGGAGGAGGCGGTGGCGTGCAGGCCACAGGCCACAGCCTACAGCCGGCACAAGAGCGCTCAGATACGGAAGTGTCGTTTTGGGAGTAAATTATGCAGCGCGTCAGCACACCCCCGGCCTCGGGAGTCCGCCAGCAGCAACGTCTTCCCGGCGCGGAATAATGGTCGTGTTGCAGCTTCTCTCGCCCCATGTCCCTCCTCTTTTGGCTCCTACAACCTTCGGCCTTGACTACTGTTACATTATGCCATCATGGTAACTCCAGATAATTACGGAGAACCCTGTCAGTGTCAAGGTGTAGCTGTATGCTTACAGCTACGGTCAGCACAGGTTCAAAACTCAAGTAACTGTAACATGGTGATCTTTGATCCGACGCATGCATTTGGCAGTGAGAAGCGGTAGCAACTGGTGATAATTTTCTGGCCGCTTTTCAGGATTACGGATTACGTACAGGGGAAAAACTGTAAAGAAATAGCAGAGCAACAGTGGAATCGCACTCCGATGAGGAATCACCGCACGCCATCGAGGAGGGAGGCCAGACAAGGGGCTCAGATGCGCAGTTTCCAGCAAGAAGCTAAACGGCTCAAGTTCCTGTATACTAGATGCTCACATAGTCACATTACATTGGAACAGCAGAAAAGCTCAGCACTTGCCGTGATCATCTAGCCAGCATAGCTCTGCGCCTCTGCCCCAAATGGAGCATACAGGTGCAAGGGCTGATAGAACAAGACTACAAGAGCATAAAGCTTGAGAGAGAAAAAAATCTTCTCTTTACACAAGGTTCGATCTTGGTTCCTAATTAAACGAGGAGACGGATCGAGCATCTTGACTTTGCTCGGCTTCTCCTGCTCCTCAGCTTGCTTGCATCCTGCATGCGGCGCCGCAGCCTCTGCCCCCATCAGGACTCAGGCGTACTTGCGCCAGCACACCAGCATCGTGACGCACCGGCGCATGATGTAGAACCGCGCGCGCTGCTCCTTGACGAGCCGCGCGCACCGCCCGGAGAAGGATCGGCCCTTGCCGCCGCTGCCGTCGCCGCGCATGGCGCCCATGCCCGCCTTGCCGCCGCCGCTCCTCTTCCTGAACAGCCTGCTGCACGGCTTCTCCTCGGCTGCTGCAAAGAGCTCCATGGATGGATGATGAACGTCCCTTCTCGCCGGACGAAGAGGATGGTTATCAGTGGAGTGAGTTGAGCGAGTGAGTGAGCTGTGTGATCTGAGGTGGTTCTGTATGCGGAGGAATCGCATAGCCGGTTATATAGTGGAAGCCGTGGTGCCGCCCACCCCCGAAGTGAAAGGAACCACTTGATGTTTTTCTACGTGTATATGCAGGGTTTTTGCTGTTCGGAGTTCACGCTCGTTTTTTCATTTTCTAATTCTGCAGCCTTTCTGACCTGACCTCGGCGGTGCGCTGCTGCTACATCTTTTGTTCTGCCTCGTCCCCATGGGGACAATTTTTCTCATCTCGCTTGTCTTCTCTCTTTTTTTCGCGAATACGTGGACTTGGGGGAGCAAACAAACTGTCAGAGAAATGACAAGTCTGCGAATTTAGGTCACTGTCACTTCACTTCCATTATATTGTACGCTACTCCCTTCGTCAAAAAAACATATGATCACGTGGCTTAAATCCGGTCCCAAAAGAGGGTAAATCTAGATTGAAGATAAGCTTTAGGATAGGACCCATCAATAAAAAAATTACACATGCAATTGAAAAATCATGTTAACTCTGCACTTCCATTGAAAATTCTAGATGGTTCTTTTGAGTTTCAGGTGCGTGTTGAGAAGGGGCACATGCATAATTTTACATCTTCACTAATGTAGCCTTGAAAAACGAGATTTACATGTTTTGTGAGACGGAGGGAGGAACAAAGAACCACTTAATAGAGGGTTTATTTTTCTTTAAAAAAACAGGGATTGAACAGTAACTTGACTAGTGAAGCCGCGGAAGCCACAGAAGCATGGCAAGCTCATGCATGCAAATATTCAAAGTTTCAGACACGAAGCAGCCAGCCACACCTCAGGCGGCCAGGGCGCCAGGCCCCCACACGCACACGGAGACGCACGGGCAGCGCAGAACCGCAGAGCAGCTGATGTCTCTGTGTCCGTCGCCGTCCGTCCGCGCCCCCGTGGGCCGTGGGCCGCCGTGGCCCGTGCGGGAGGTCAAAAGCTAGCTCCCGGAGCCCCAAACCTTTGGCTCGAAATGGGTAAGGGCAAAGCCGCGCAGGTTGGTCAGGTCGCTCGCACGGACGCGCCGCCCGTGCACACCGCACACCATCCATAGCGCGATCGCTTCTCCCTTGAGCGCCGCCGGCGGCACCCTTGGTGTTGGTGGTGTGGGCGTGCGGCGTGCATTCAAAGAGCCGCCCCGTCCGTCCGTCTCCTTGCAGGTCGCAAAGCCTGCATCACGATCACGAGCGACCGGCCGGCCCGTGCGTCGCGACGGAGCTCGCGGCCGTACGTGGGGCGGGGTGGGGTTCGCAGCGCAATGCGTGGGCCGTGAGCAGCGGAGCCAAGTGGCGTCAGCTTTACTCTGTAGCGCGCGAACCGAGCTGGCACGGCAGCGAGGCGGGCAGACTGGCGCGGTGGTGGACCGGGCGGGCGGTTGTGCGGGGCTCCCATCCCAGCGGCAGCAGCTGCCGCGCTCGCTCGGCTCGGCTCGGCCTCGGCTACAGGCGGGCGCAGAGGCGCGCAGTCCCCATCGTCCTTCGCCTCGGGAAGGCGGCGATGGACGGGAGGTCGGCCACCCTGGCCACAGCGCAGCCCGAGCGGCCGAGACGGGGGCGGGCCCTCGCGCGCTCGCGCTACATGACGCCGTCGTCGTCCGAGTCAAAAACAACCGCGCCGTGCCCTATGGAGTATCGACGCCAACGCTCCCTGTTTCTCACCGGCCCAAGAAGAAGAAAGAGAGCTGCTGCATGGGGCGCAGCTTCTGTCTGCCATGTGGGATCCATCCAGAGGCGCTTGCCGAGAGATGATCATCATTGATTAAAGCAAGCCCCGATTGGGCCAAACGGGTATGATGGTTTGCTGAGTGGACCGGTCAAAGATAGAACATGCATGGCCCGGGACGCCGGATTTTCCCCCCTCCCTTTTCTTTTCTTTTTCAGTGGAAGCAAGGACAAATACTGTCTGATATACATATAATACATTTGATTCGCCAAAAAAAAAAATCGTTACGCGCGCGTACGTGCGCCGGTGCACGCGATAAAAGACCGGGCATGGGCCCCGCATGCATGGCGATGGCACAGTGCTGTTTTACTGTGCGAGTGGGGTACAGTACCTGACAGGTCTACACCTACACGTTTCTGGGTCAGAGTATACTGTGCGCGCGTGCGTGAGACGGTGAGAGGCCGAGGAACAAGGATACTGGTGGCACGTACGCGCGTAGTATACGTACATATCTGCTGGAGCGAGCATGCAACAGTGCCGCCTGTACATACTCTACAGACTACAGTGCCAGTGTCACTGTGCATCGGCACAGAAGAATTGCTTGCGCTCCAGCTGCGATCGAATCGACGACAGGGCCGTCTGGTGACCGGGCGGTGTTTCTCGGCAGTGTTTGGCGTTCTGCGTCGTCCCCTCTCTGACTCTTTCGCAGGCGACAAGCAAGCAATGCGCCGCGCGACACCAACAGTTACACTTACACGTGTGCGATCACGCGACGCCGGTGCCTTAGAATATTGGCGAAAAGAGACGAGCAACAGAATCTGTCTGCCACATCATGTTGCTTCCACCTCCATGCCTGAGAGAGTCTGAAAGATTGACAGGAGCTCATAGCTATACGCACCATGGATCTCCCGGAGAATACAAGTCAAGAACAAGAATTCGCAGAAGTTTGTTGGGTGTAGTTTTATACTAATTACTTTGACCTGTATTACAGTCGTTCCCTTAGGTGAAACCGTCCGATCGAATCGTCGCTTCATTCGATCACGCCTGCACGTATCAAATTTGCTTTGTGTTGCCATGGACCTCAAGTGTGTGCATCATCATTTGTAGGAGTGGTGTATAACGTGTTCATCTGGATTCCTATATATGCCTCCGACTTGGTCACAATCTCGAGTAAAGCAGGGCAAGACAGGTTTAGGTATTCAAAACTTCAATATACAGAATAAATGTCCCTTAAACAAACGACTTTTAAGCTAGAGTCTATCTACTTTGTGGTCGGATGTTTCACGAGGTGCTGACACCCGAGTGTCACATCTCTTGAAAGCACTTGATTCTACCAAACAAAGAGATCGAGTGTTTCAGGCTAGGAATCACTCGATTGCCATAAGCACACGATCCACGTGTAAGGCTATCTCCAACAAAGCACTTAAAATATAAGACCTATTTATTTTTTGGTATCGCTACAGGTAAATAGTTCAATATATATTGGGTATCTTTTCCAACAACAAAACCCAAAAGAGAATCATTTCTACAAACAAATGGGTTTACAGGAGAGATGATGCTCATATTTGGGTTGTGCCTCTCAGGCAACCCAAAATAATTCTCACGTATATGTACTCTGTTGAAGGCTGATTTTTGACCTCTTGCTACCTATTTTAGGTTTGCGTGTCCATGTGAGTTAGTTGTTGGAGACGGTCTAAGGGACCAAATATAAAAGATCAAATAAATGCAAAAATCAAAATAAAAAATAGAAAAATAAAAAAATCAGATTAACAAAACAAATTAACTGGTTATTTCTATGAAAGGAAAATTGGAAAAGTTTCAAAGAAAAAAAGAAAGAAAACATACAAATTTAAAATAAATAGGTCAAAACAAACTAACAGATTATTTGCAAATTGGAAGAATTTCAAATAAAAATGAATAAAACATACAAATTTCATAATAAAAGGGAAAAGTGTTATGACCATTGAGAAGGCAAACAAAAATTAGGCGTTTTTTATACATGCAACACTTGATTGTTAAGACCATTGGATCCAAATCAAATGAACAAAAAAATCCAAATAATACAAAAATATTAAATAAAAAATAAAAAAAATAGTCAGATTATTTCTATGAAAGTCAAATTGGAAAATTTCAAAGAGGAACCACAACCCGTTCGGCTGCTCCACTTTTGGCTGATGTCGGCTGGACTGCTCCTACTGCTACAGTGCTCGAATCAGCTGGAATCAGCCAGCAGCCGATCAGCTTCAGTGCTGCGTTTGAATTCAAAAAGGGGCGCCAACAGGATGTATTCCATTTGCCAAATCTGTCCCAAGACAAAGAGCAGATGAAAAATTAATCGAAAGCAAGACTTGATTACAGATTTACAGTTCCATACCTGACAGCCTCCAACTGACTGGATAGTCAAATTTAGTCTTGCCACCCTTCTCAGGCTTCTTCACCTGTTGTCAAGTACAATAATGTCAAGCTTCCATGGAGGAATATCAATGATGATAAATATGGAATAGATCAAGGAAAAACATACAGATCAAGAAAATAGCATGCCCCTTGAGAAGGAACAAATGAACAATCCTCTGTTGTTGCCTTTTTACACAAATATGACTAAATAAATAACATAAAAGAAGGAAACCGGGTAGAAGTTTATTATGATGCAGTACACAAAGAACAAAGAGTTCATGCCAAACGCTCACGGTACATGAAACGAATTCGAACAAGCAAACACACATTAATTGAAACATTTGAACACTCATGCAAAGAAATTAAACGAAGGATGCCTAAACATCAGCGTTGCTGCAGTTCCATTTGTCTACTTGTTTTTCCATTTAAAGGTGATCCAAGACAGTAAAGAAATGGGCATGATGCACGAAACATACAGGCAAGATAAGTAAGGAATAAACATGAGTACACTTGCCTTCTCAAGCAACTTCGCGTTTTGGAACGCCGTAGTAATGCACGCTTCGTGGCGAAACACGACGAAAAGGACGATCGTGCCCGGGGGGAACACCGTTGCACGAGAGCCGTTGAAAACTTGAAGAAACCGCCGAGAGGGGATCCGTGGAGGCGAAGGCGATGACGACGAGCTGCAAGGCGAGCCGTTTACGCCGACGGAGAACACCCGGATCTGCCCATGAGGCGGTCGAATCGATAGGGGAAGAAGGCGGGCTCGGATCCGGCGGCATGAGTGTGGGATCTTCTTCAAGGTACTTGCTCGATGGTCGGGGTGTGGCGACGAGGAGAAGAGGCGA